CTGCGGGCCCCGCCGCAGCAGCGGGACTCTGCGCCCCTCTAGGATCGGCGGCCACTGGCCCTCCGCGGGGGCGGGAGGGCAGGCCGTCTTCGCAACCAGGGCGTCCTCCTCCTCCTCCACCTCCTCCTCCTCTTCCCTCCTGCCTTCCTTCCTCCTCCTCCTTCCTTTCCTCCTCCTCCTCCTCCCCCTCCTCCTCCTCCTCCTCTCTCCCTCCTCCTCCTCCTCCTCCTCCTCCTCCTCCTCGTCCCTAACTCTCCCCCCTCCCTCCCTCCCTTCCTCACGCCTTCCCTCCCTCACCCCATCCCCCTCCTCCTCTTCTTCCTCCTGCTCTTTCACATCCTCCTCCACCTTCTCCTCATCTTCCCCTTCCGCCTCATCATCCTTCTCATCTTCCTTCTCATCCTCCTTCTTGTCCTCATCCTCCCTCTCCCCCTGCTTCCCTTCCTCCGTCCATCCCTCCATCCCTCCATCCCTCCCTCCTCCTCCTTCCTCCCTCCTCCTTCTCCTCATCTTCCTCCTCTGCATGCTCCTTCTTGTCCTCCTCTTTCGCCCTGGCTCCATCTCCTCCACCTCTGTGTCCTCCTCATCCTCCACTTCCTCCTCCTCCTCCTCATCCTCATCCTCATCCTCATCATCATCATCATCATCATCAGCAGCATCATCATCAACATCATCATCGTCATCGTTATCGTCATCGTCATCGTCATCGTCATCATCATCAGCATCATCATCACCATTATCATCAGCATCAGCATTAGCATCATCATCATCACCATCGACAGCAGCAACCTCATCATCATCATCATCATCATCAGCAGCAGCATCATCATCATCATCATCATCATCATCATCATCATCATCATCATCATCATCATATCAGCAGTAGCATCAGCATCGCCATCAACATCATCATCATCAGCAGCATCATCATCAGCATCATCATCAGCATCATCATCTCCATCATCATCAACATCACCATCAACATCAGCACCATCATCAACATCATCAGCATCATCATCATCAGCAACATCAGCATTATCACCAACGACATTACCATCATTATCAGCACCATCAGCATCATCATTAGCATCATCATCAGCATCAAGCTCACCATCATCATCATCATCATCAGCATCATCATCATGAGCGTCAACATCATGATCATCGTCATCATCACCACCATCATCATCATCGTCAGCATCATCATCAGCAGCATCATCATCAGCATCATCCTCACCACCACCAAGACAAAACAAAAAACAACAGCATCACCATCAGCACTATCATCATCAGCATCATCATCATCATCATCATCATCATCATCATCATCATGATCAGCATCATCATCGCCATCAGCAGCATCATGATCATCATCGTCAGCAACAGCATCATCAGCTGCAACATCATCAACAGCATCATCAGCATACTCCTGCCCCCCCCGCGCCATGGCTGGCGCCCCTGCTGCAGCCTTCTCTGGGGCTCCGTGCCGATGGCGCGAGCGGCGTCATCGCAGCACCGGTCGCCGACGGAGCGAAAGTTATGAAGCAGCTCCGCCTCGATTCGCTCGAGACGCCAGAGGCAGGGGCTCTCGCGACTCTGTCCTCGTCCTGAGCCTTCGCCCTGCAGCGAGCCTGGCCGCCTGCGGCCCCCAGGCGTGGAGGGCCTCAGAGCACCTGCTGAGCGGAGCAGCGTGAAGGCTCGGGTCTGCTAATCTCAGCAAGCATGGGGCGAACATCAAACATGAAGACCGGTGCGTGGTCGATATCGCGGGGCACGCAACGGCGATGCACGCACGAGCACATCAAGAAGCACAGCCTGGCCCTGCACAGGGCAAAACCCTCGAGCGGCCAAGCACTGCCTCAAGCGGGGAGGAAGCCTGCCCGTCGCATCGCCGAGAGCTCAGTCATCGCTCCTCCTCCTCCTGCTGCTCCTCAGCCTCCTCCTCCTCCTCCTCCTCCTTCTCCTCCTCCTCCTGTCTCCTCTGCTTCCTCCTCCTCCTCCACATTGTCCTCCTCATCTTTCTCCTCCCCATTATCCTCCTTCTTCTAACTCCCTCTCCTGCTCTTCTCCTCGTCCTCCTGCTCCTCCTCCTCCTCCTCGCTGCTCCAGACAAGCAGCTCCCATCGCAGCCGCGGAGGCGGGCGTGGGGAACGGGCTGCTCTCGCAGGGCCGAGGCGAGGCGCCTCCCGGGCGAGGTGTCGCGGACTCCCCGCACAATTATCATGCTGCGGAGCAGGCTCTGCGTGTGCGTGTGCACGTCGGCCCTGCGCCTGGCGCGCCCGAGAAGAAGCTCGCGACAGCGAAGGCCGAGCTCCGTGGCAACTCGTGGGCGCCTCCCATACCATCTTGTCGGCTCCTGCGCATCGACGCCAGTCGACGCCAAGTCGACGCTCATCGACACCACGGCAGCGCTATATGGACTAGATTGGCGCTGACTCATCGACTTCCAGGCGCCAATCGACGCCAATCGCCGCTGAAGACAGAAGTGCGAGGGCACACAGGCTCCCATGATTTGCTACCGAAGCCGAGGATACTGTTCATCCTGACGAGGTTCTGCTCCGGCCCTTTAGCGTTGCCCTTTACTTTTGGGTTCCTTTTCGTGGGCTTTGCATCTGGAACGTCGATGCACATTCGACAAGGGCTCCCCCGAGGGCGCGAAGTTATTCGCGCTTCGCGCTTCGCGGTCCTCGTTCCTTCTCCCCCCCCTCCTCCTCGTCCTCCTATTCTCCCTTTGCAGCTGGTGATGAGAGTCTTCCCCAGCCACCTCCGGCACACGGTCACGCTGTGGCTGCTGCCGGTCCTGGGCCCATGCGTGGCGCCAAGCTGCGACTCCAGCGGCCCCGTGAAGATGATCCTGACAATCGCGTTGGTAGCCAACCACACCTGGTTATAACACCCGGGGACGATACAGATCGGGGTCCCGGGGGGAAGGATAAACGATCTGTCCCTGCAAGTCGCACGAGGGGTGTATGACGAGAGAAGAAGAAGACGTCGTCGTCGCACGAAGACGGAGGGATACGATTGATCTATTATCTGGGGCACTGGGTTAATCGTGGCAATGGCAAAGGACCAGGAAATGTGCAAGGTAATTGCGCCAACGCAACCTTGCACGAAATGCCGCCCCTGTGTCCGGGCGCAACGCTTAACGTTGCTCGTTGCACCATGATCTCGGCGAGTGTGGTGGATCGCTCTCGCCGCGTTCCCGATCGGGGTTGCGCTGTTGGCCCATTGTTTTCTGATTGTGCTGATCTGTATTTTCCTCTTGCTCTCTCCTTCGTGGGACGCGCCGTTTCTGCGGCGCGCCATGTCCACAATCCAGAACTCAGAGTCCTCCTCATACTCCTCCTCCTCCTCCTCCTCCTCCTCCCGGTCCGCCTTCCAGCCCCCCTGTGTCCTCCGTCGTTGCTGTTTCCCACCCTTCGTTTTCGTCTGCATCCTCCTCATCCTCCTCCTGCTCACCCTCACCACCCTCCTCCTCCTCCTCCTCCTCCTCCTCCTCCTCCTCCTCATCATCATCCTCATCCTCATCCTCATCCTCATCCTCATCCTCATCCTCCTTCGTCTCCTCCTCCTCCTCCTCCTCCTCCTCATTCATCCACCCTCACCCTTCCCTCGTTTGTCCCGCACCCTATCCCAACCTCCCTCCCGCTCCACCATCCCCGTCTCCTCTCCACCTTCCTCTTTCTTTCTGCTCCCCCTGATCCTCCACAGCACTCCGAGCTGAACTGGGAGGCCCTTGCGTCAGCACGCGGCTCATCCTTGTCGAAGTCTGCACGCGATGGGAGCTCGCAGGCGCCGGCACGTCCGACCGAGGGGCATCGAGAGCTCGCAAGAACGCGTCAACGCACAATGAAACACACAAACTGCGATACATATTACATACAATATTTACATATACACATGTATAGGCACCGTACGTCGAGTTTAACGTCACACGTACATTGGACGACAAAGTCTACACCGAAGCGCCGACGTGCAAATCATGAGGACGAGGGTTCGCTCACGCCGCGTAGCTTCGACCACGACGCCATGAGACAGAACGCGGGTGCCCTCGTACGAAGCCCCACTGGCCCTCCCATGACAGCCCCCGTGACGACCCCCGCATGATGCGCGCAGATAGCTGGATGGGTACCGGGAGGGAGAGCAAGCAGCACCGAAAACGTCCGTGACCCCTCGAGGATCCATGACGAGGAGGATGAGAGGAATTCGCCGGCCCAACGGGCCAGAGGCGTGCTAAGATCTCCGGTAACTGGTTAAGAATTCTCTAGTTCGCGCGCGCGGGGCGGCCCCTGGGGGTCCCCGGACGAAAAGTACCCCGGCAAGGTCCTGAGAGAGTCCCGGGAGGAGTCCCCCAGAGCGCTCCAGGAGCGCTCCATGAGCGCACCAACAGGGCTCCGAGACGTCCCCGAGAGCCCCAAGAAAGGCCAAGAGGCCCCCAAGAGGCCCCCAAGATGGTACACGAGGGGTCCGACATGCCACAAGATCGCTCCAAGACGCCCAAGATAGCCCCCAGACGCCCCAAGAGGCCTCCAAGAGCACTCCCAAGAGGGCCCCCGGAGGCAAAATTCATTGTTTTTCCTTAGGTTTTTGAGAGATGTTGGAGCTTCCACCTTTTCGGTTCCCGACGCCCCAAGACGGCCCCAGAGGCCCCCAAGATCGCCCCAAGAGGGCCCAAGAGGCCCCCAACAGGGCCCCAAGATGGCCCAAGAGGGCTCGAAGACGGCCCAAGAAGCCTCCAAGACGGTCCAAGAGGGCCCCAAGAACACCCCCAAAGGGGCCCCAGAGAGGAAACACGAAACAAAATTTCGCGCCCTCGGCCCTAAGAAGCCCCTACGAGGCCCCAAGAGGCCCCTAAGAGGCCCCAAGAGGCCCCCACGAGGCCCTCAGGAGGCCACCAAGAGTCCCCCAAGCGGCCCCAGGAGGCCCCCCAAATGCCCCCCCGAGCGCCCCAGGAGTCCCCCAAGCGGCCCCAGGAACCCCCACAGCGCCGCATTGACACCAGGCCCTCGGGCAAACGGCAGACATGAGACCGTATGGGCCGGCGGAATGAGCGAAGCGATTCAATCTAATGACATGTGTATACACCGTAAACGTACAAATTCCGCATGTACATATATACACATATGCATTGCACTTCGTGGACTGCGCACATCAGATTGCACAACACATGTAACTACATCTATTGAATTGCAGTCAGACTTAGGCCAGACCAACGTCCCTCAAGAACATGAGACCCTCAGTCGGTCAAACCGAACTGAAAATCTAAGGGTATCCCCCCCAAGGTGCACAAGAGCATCCAACAAGCACGGAAAACACTAGGGTACCCTCCTCGAACCGATTTCGATCTGATATCTCGGTCCGACTGTATTGCACAGCTGACTGTGCATAGCACATATCATTTCACATGCATAGGTGTATACACATGTCGCGGTCAAGACAAGTTGTACCACATCGATTGTCCCATATATATATATGTATTGGTGAACACGGGGGGATATCCATTACACAATAGATATTGCAACACATCTAAGACACAACGTACGTTACTCATCATACTCTTGCACAGCATGGACCGGACAACCACTACCGTTTGCAAGCAACAGGGTGCACAGCCATCTTGCACGACATACAGAACACCACATAGTTTGCACAACAGCTGCTTCACGACAGCTACTGCTGAAAACATCAGGATTGTGATCAAAGCTGGCCAACATCTGTTTATACGCGTGCATTTATATATAAATGGATAAATGTTTATACATTTATGTATGTATTAGGTTCTAACCGTGGCGCGCGCTTCACGCGCGCTTGCTCTCTGACCGTGGCCACGGAACTGCTCCGAAGACGGTATGAGCAGGCACAGGTCCAAGTATGTGACGTTAGCCCAGAAATCCGACCTCCTCCCCGTCCTCCGCCTCCCCCTCCGCCTCCTCCTGCCTCTCCGCCCCCTCCTCCCCCTTCCCCCTCCGTCCCCTCCCCCTTCCCCTCCTCCTCCTCCACCTCCTCCACCTCCTCCACTTCCTCCTCTCCCTCCTTTTCCTCCTCCTCTCCTCCTCCTCCTCCTCCTCCTCCCCTCAAACGATTTGGGCTGAAGCGCCAAGTCCCACGCCCCCGTGCGTGGGCGAGTGCTCGCAGCCATCCTTGTACTTCTACGTAGTGCCCGGGGGATGTTGCAGCAGGTGTGCCCCATCACCTGCCTGCATCAACGAAAGCAGGGATAACTTTTACGATGTCAGCCCCCCGCCGCCCATGGAGCAGGTGTCCGTTTTGCCAAACGTGTGAATACAATGACAAGTTCCTCCTTGCAGGCTGTCGGTGCAGCAAGTGTTCCAAGCAGGTGCGGCGTTTCAAGCCGCGCGCTCAGTCCAAATCTGATGAACGAGGTGTGCGCTTTGAATATGAGGAGGCGTTTGGAGCCACGACTCCACGCAACGGGAAGAAGGGCAGCTTCAAGAACACTCTAAACAACTCGACGCTGTTCGCACAGGCGCTGGAGGCCACCCAAGACACCGAGCTGCAGCAAGCGTTGCAGCAGCAGCAGCAGTCGCAACGGTTGGCGAGTCAGAACATGAGCGCCAAGAGCAGCGACGCCGTCGATGCCGTCAAGCGCACAGACGGCACCTGGAAGACCGCCAGGAACCGACACAATCAGCTGGTGAATCAGGTGATGGGGCTGCGGCAGCAGCTCAGCACCGCGGAGAGCAAGAAGAGCGAGGCTGTTGGCGAGCTCGCCCGCGCAGCGGCGGCGAAGACGGCGGCCACGAGGGCGTTGGTGCAAGCTGAGGGAGTCGGTGCTGCTGCCACTTCCAACGAGCAAGAGCCCAAGCCCATGTTCGGCATCACGGTGAAGATGGATGTGTTCAGCTCCTTCGAGTCGTGGGATTGCGGGGGTACGGACAAGGCCGAGCTAGAGCAGTACAAGGCAGCCATGGAGGAAAAGAGCTCCACGCGGCAGTCGTTCGTCGACAAGGCGAAGCTGACAGAAAAGGAGGTCGCCGAGAGGATGGCCAAGAAGCGCAAGGGGAACGACGGCGGCGCCCAGGACAGCCTGGGCGCTGCCGCTCCTGAGGCAGCGGCAGGGGAAAGGGGAGCAGGTGCTTCCAGCGCTGCCAGCCCCGACGCCGTCGATCCCGCGCGCGAAGAGGCCATCAAGAGGGAGGCGGCGAGGATCTCCCAAGCGAGGCTTCAGGCTGCCGCAGCCACCAACAAAGACAAGGGCACCGCGGGTGGCAAGGGCGCGGGTGCGCCTCCTGCTGCCGACGGCCCAGGCCC